GCAAGTCCCTTACAGGTGATTCTTCGGAGAGCTACCATTATACAAGCAGAAGATGAATACTAGAAGCGTTATTCTGCTATAAGTGACATTAGATAAGGATGTACGATATATATTTTTAGATTTTGAGACATATTTTCCAATGTCTTTAAGATAACGGAGATATTGATACAATTCCTATCAACGAGGTGAAAGAAAGAGATAATAAAAGACATATTGATCAACAAGGTACAAGATATGACAGTAAATAGAAAGCAAACATCGATTTGTTTGCTTAATAGATATGCTATACTCTCCGATCTTAACGTGAAAGCCTGATCTTGTGTAGGCGAAAGTGCCTGTCACCTAGACAGGTTCAATAGCAATAATGAGTTCCAAACCTGAAGCTATTTACGCTTACTGAATAGGCAATTCCCTGTCTTAGCGGGAATATAGATATTTTTGCTTGTTGATTCTCACTCCCTCCAACACATCTACATGCGCTGTCTATTTCTCACTCACCTCAGGGATGTAAGGTGACAATCAAAAGTTTCTCTGCATGGCAATTATATATTTTTTGCTTTTGGGGTATCTTTCATTCTCCTTATATCTTTGTTCTTATGATCCTACACTTAGGCACCCTCAACCTGGCTTCATTCTCGTTCTATCGACATCTATTCCATGTCGGCCATCAATATCTCTCTACTATATGCCCAATCCGTACCTCTAAACCCTTCACTCTACTCGTTACCATCAACCCTTCACATATCTATTCCTTAATTCCCTGATTCTATCATCTCCACGCATTCTATGTTTCACTCCGCGAAGCAACTCTTCTTATCACCTCCGTTTAACTCCGGGGTCATTTCTATCCTCTGTGTTGCTACATTCGAATCCTTGCTTCCTCTCTGAGCTAGCTCACCGAGCTATTTTTCCTCGTCCCCTATTTCTGATTCGCACACCCCAATTTTCTCTATTCAACCTTGTTCACTCATTCTCCTCAGCACCACCCATCATCCATCCATCAATTTCAACATGCAAAGTGCAGTCAAAATGAAACAACCCACTAAAAATACCAAAAATACTACGAACACAATGGAGGCGGTCCTAAAAGATACTCCAAGTCCTGTCGATGGCATGGAGGTGAAGTCCGAGCCAAAGGACCTGACAAACAGTCCGAGCAAGTTTCCAAACATGGAAGTCCATATCCAAGGTGACATACCAAATCAGAAACTGATCACCACTTACTTCTGCCCGAAAAAAGCCTTGAAGCAAGATGATCCTGTGCCAGAGAATTTCCCTAAGGAACCTGACGAGGAATCGCTGGATAAAACAGGCTCGAACCATGTCTCCGATGATGAGGAGTCTTCTGGCGACGAGGAAAACTGTTCTGATGAGGAGTTCAAACTAGCCTCAAACGCGGAGTCACTGGTGGATTCCGAGCCCGAGCCTGCTGAATCTTCTAGAAATGATAGTGATTTTGACCCCATGGAATGTTCTTCCAAGCCAGTGAAAAAAGAGATCTCAAGCAAAACCAAGCGAAAACAGCAGGAACGAATCTCAACCTCATCGAGTTTCATCGAGAAAGTCAAGGGTCTGATGCATAGTAACATACTCAGCGGCGCAAAGGCCAACGCCAATATACAGCAATTGACCCCTGTGTCCCAGCAAAAGAACAAGACGACAGCGCTCGCAGAGGAAGTTGCGAAGCTTTCAATTGAAGACCAACCGCAGGCTAAAAAAGACGCGAATTCATTGATTCAGGACTCGAGGAAATTCGAGCCCTCGGCGTCAATCATCAACATGAACTGGAAGGTTAGGGGTCTCAAAACACTGCTGAAGCACCATCAGGTTCGAAATCTTGATCTATCAGGTTCAACTTGTGATATATGTGACTGACTATTGAAACAGCTCAAGGCCGCTGCGTGGATGGTAAGTTCGGCATTCTATGTTATAAACATAGTACCTAGCTGACGTGCATAGCGCAATCGCGAGAGTTCGGCGGTGGAGCCAAATGGAGGCTTGCTCTGCGACGAGATGGGCCTAGGGAAAACGCTTACAGCTCTCGGTAAGAACGAAGAATATCATGTCACCTTGAGAAGTCAAAATCTTACATTTTCCACAAGCAAATATCGCGAACGAAAAGTTCTCAAATCGTTCAAAAGCCCCGACTCTGATCATTGTCCCGAGAAGCTTGATTGCACAGTGGTATGTCTCACTCTTCGACATAAAAGATTAATGTGAGTGTTACTTAACTCGGTTATAGGATCGATCAAATCTCTACGCATTGCGAGGAAAGGGTAAGTAGAGACGTTCTCGAGTATTACGCCGGTGCACGAACGAGCGAGAGCGATGTTGTGAGAGCGATGCAAAAACGGCTTATTGTGTAAGACATTTGAAGCAGATTACTGTATGTTTCATGTCCCTGACCTTATAGGATCACCACATATGAGCAAGTCTGCAGTTCGCATCCGAAGTTGAAACCACCAGTCATGACCAAGTCTCCCGAAAAGCTTGAGGCTTGGAGAGAAAAGGAATACTATCGTAGAGCTGGACCTTTCCATAAGGTTGAGTGGCACCGCATCATTCTTGACGGTATGTACATGACTTATAAATATATCCAATGCGGTTGATACTAATTCGACTTCGCAGAAGCTCATTTGATCAAGAACAAAGATTCCGCAACCTCTATCGCTGTCCGAGCCTTGAAAGGCAAATTCAAATGGGCTATGAGCGGGACGCCGTTACACAAGTAAGAACTAGCCACCACTTGGGCATGGCAAGCTTTGGAATGACTGAAGTCCTGAGTACTGACTAAATGTTTCTAGCGGGGTGGAAGAACTTTACCCATATATCCATTTCATCTTTACATCGGAAAGAATGGAATATGACACCTTCCTGAAAAAATACTCCAAGGTTAGTCTTGTGGAGGGAGCCTTTACTTCAAAATCCAAAATTAACATTCTCTATAGGGGTTGGATAACATCCTTGAAACTGTCCTACACCGCAGTACATACAGTACCTGGATACTTGGCAAGCCCATTATCACGCTTCCGGGCATCAATAACCGAGTTGTAGAGGTCGAACTTTGCCCAGCTGAAAAGTTTCTTTACAGGGAGATTCAGGATCTGGGCATTGCAATGGTCAATGGTAGGTCTGACATTAATAGCGAAAGAAGCTGAGCGTTAACACATCCCACAAGGGTCTGCCGATACAAAACAGAAACAGAGCAAATGCATCTTGGCCGTTATAACAATGCTGAGAATGTTTGTGAGCCATCCGCTCCTCGCCCAAAAATTCCTCGAGACTGCGCTCAACCAAAGTGTCATTGCAAACCTCAAAAAGATGGTACAAGCAGAAGGCGTGGCTAAGAGCGCATCAGGGGTCATCATCAACTTAATTCTCGGTGTGGGTGACAAGGTCGCTCCTCGACCAAGGCCTCCAGGAGACTTTTCCGACCTCCAGGTAAAATTTTACGAACACGTGGAGCGCGTTCGCGAAAACGAGGGAAAACACTACCAAGTCATATGCAGAATATGCCCTCATTGCACAAATATCGCAAATGAGAAGGAGGCATTCGTGGTCACATCCTGTCATCACCTTTATTGCAAGGGGTGCTTTGATGCACTACCCGACCAAAGTGGAAATACCGATACCGCCACCCGCATCTGCAGCTCCTGCAAAAAACCCATCAAGGAGGCCGGATACTCCGACGATTCACCAAAGGGCTCACCAAAGAAGAGAAAGCAGTCCGTGCGGAAGGGAAATGGCAGGAACGTCTTCAAAAAGCGGCGCCAAAAGTTATTCAAACAACAGGTTCTACAAGATCCATCAGATCGCGAGTGGGACGAGCCCAGTGAGGATGAGAGCGATTGGATTTCGTGCATTGGGGATCGTATGCCGTCAGCGAAAACCACAGCGGTTCGGAAACTCATCGCAAACTGGGTGCAAGAGGATGAAAATGTCAAGATCGTCATCTTCGCTCAATTCCTGAAGACCATTCAACTTCTTCAGTTCATGTGTGAGGAGGAGGGCTGGAAATATGCAACCGTACGTCAAGACTGGTAAGAGAAAAACACCGAGCCACATTACTAACAATGCCAATATAGATTACAGGGAAGGTGTCGCCAACCTTGCGTGATAGGCAAATTGAGCAGTTCAGCAAGGAGAAAGATATCAAAATCATGATTTCCTCCCTGAAGACTGGCGGTGTTGGCCTCAATTTGAATATGGCTAACAAGTGCATCCTTGTGGATCCCTGGTGGAATGAAGCGATTCAAGATCAGGTAAGGAAGTCTGGACTCAGATCCTGGAAGGGTGAAAGGCTATAGGCAAGCTAACAATAAGTTGCTAGGCGTACTGTCGTCTGTACCGCATCGGACAACCTCGCTTAGTGGAATACGTCCAAATTGTGGCAAAAGGGTCCATTGACTCGTGGATGATCGGTCTGCAGAAGGAAAAGACCCGGAACATCCATCGGCTGTTTAGCACGGAGTCGCTTAAGCAGATACTCGGTCCCTCTGGGGATATTCGTGAAGAACCGAATGGTGCATTTTCAATTTTCACTAGTAAGGGAAACAAGAATGTCCACACCTGGACACAGGCTGTTGAATCGGGGATCATTGAAGAGGTGAATTCTTCCGAGGATGGTTAGGAGGAGGCTACCCGACAGCCGAAGAAGAAAAGAAAACCGAAAAAATTAAGATAGAAAAGAACAGAGAGGACCAGGGAAAGTGTGCAGAACGATGGATTGAGCAGTTGCAAAGGACATTGATTTTTAGGATAATTTCGCTGCCCAGCTGGGCTTGCTTGGATGCATATACATTCATTTAGCATTCGATATCCTCTGTTTATGAGGCGAAAGTATGCCATCTATGACTCAATTTTCCAGTATCATTGGATGTATTTTGTGCTCCTAGGTTCTATCTCAAACACTGACATCCAGAAAAAAGCATTCAAAAGGCACAACCCAGACACGACGTAGATATGTTAATATCAAACATCTTGACAGCCAATATTAATCACTACAGATCAGGAATTGTAGTTTCATAATCTAACACAGAGGGGTGCTTGACCTCGCCGACAGCCAACTTGCTCCAGTCCTCTTCGAACCCCTCCTCGACGTTAGGGAAAGGACCCATAGGCGTGATTGCCTTTGGATTGATATCCGCATGACTCTTTGTATACTGTATCAAGTCAGTTGGTGTCAATTAGTACCAAAAAGGCATGTCAACATACATTCTCTTTGATATGTAGAAAGTTTGTCGAGTCTCTCGCCGCTTTAACATTCCAATACATGCCCTTGAGCCAGTTGTTTAAAACTGGATAATCATGTCGGATGGTGCCTAGGTTGCACTTGAAATGTTGCACATACACCGTGTCAAAGCGGATCAATGTTGCATACAACCGGATATCCAGCTCAGTTAAATCTCGACCGAGCACAAACGGGCCTCCATTATTTGCAACAATCTTCTCGAGTTTGTTCAGAGCCCCAAAAACAGGAATGACGTTTTTGTCATACTCTTCCTGCGAGGACGCAAAGCCTGCTTTATATACTCCAGCATTGACATCAGATTGCATCCACGTGGTGACTGCATCAATTTTATCGCGCAGATATACCGGGTAGAGGTCAATCGCAGCGAGCGATGGTGGAAGCAGTTCATTGAAAGCCGTGGGAAGCCATCGAAGAAGTTCCGCACTTTCCTAACGACGATATATCCGGTCAGTACAACGTTTACTCGCCAAGATCCATTAGGTGTTATACATTGCAAATCGCCGTTCCAGTCTTCGTATCCCACAGCAACGGCACCGAATACCGCCCCTTGTAATCGGGGTCGGCTCGGAAATAGACTTTGTGCAAATAGTCTTCGCCAAACAGGTGATCAACTGTCGCACCGGGATACTCATCATCAGAGACCGGGAATCGCCATCCTGGCCAGCCTTTGGCGTCACCCTTGGGGTATGGCTTGACAATGCTGATGTCAATGAATTCGGTCAAGCCTTTCAGATGGCGGACGAAATTTACGCGATGGGCGAAGGGACAAAAGAGGCCAATATAGAGGTGGTAGCGGCCTTTCTCGGCGGGGAATTCCTCGCTCGGGATGACGCCATGCCAGCCGTCAGCAGTTGCGGGCTCGTGGATTGGGGTTTGGGCTGTCATGGCCGATGGGACTTCAATACAATTAAGCAATTGGGTTCAAATTTCGACGTAGGTAACTTCGGAGTGTTGAGTTGTTCAGGTGTAGTAGTGTCCACCAGGTAGGTGTCCAGCTCTTTGATTGATAACGTCGTGCGGAACTATCCCGCTATTGTGGACCTCTAAACATCAAAATCTAACCGTGGAATAGTAGACAGAAAACCATTTCTCAGCTGCTCAATCTCACATACACCAGGCAACTCGACGTTCAGGCTAATGAACAAAACAAAAACATAAACATACAACAGTGAGGATTCGCTGGTGGTCACCCACCCAACTACTAACTCTCCGGCGTGTGGCTTATGTGCACTGCACGTAAGGGGCACCTAGCTGCACTACGTCCGAATAAGAGAATCATTAGGGACTATACAAATGGGCTCAGCCATCCGACTATCATTCATGATATCTCATCTCCCGCTCTTGGATTGAGCGATTACTCTCTCTTTCTCTTCTATAGTGACAGATAAAAGTCCGATAGCATTTAGATCTCTCTGGGTATGGTTTTTTTCCTACCGGGTTTTCCATACCACTAGCGTGAATGCGAAAGAGACCTCCTTATGTTTTGCTGCTCTATAAATGTTATGTTGGGGCCTAGTGACCTTGTTTTATAAAAACCGGTTCATGAATGTGCATGTTCTTGACTAGTATAGACCATCGATCTGTTTATTTTTGATGGCCTAGGCGAATCATTACTCGAAAAATGCTAGCCAGATTTGGCACTTAGCCCTCTTCTCTATCTAAAAGATGCCAAGCATTTAATAAATCACCAAAAGCCTGCGCGGAATCGCTGAATGGTGCACCGGTGAGCTACAAACATAGAGCTAGTAGTAGTAGAGATGGCTGAAGTTTCTGGCAGCAGCAAGGGTGCGATCATAAAAATCCTCTTTAACAGAGTAGCGAATACTAACGTGAACAGTATCAATTCTTCTTGGCATTGATTTCTCGTATGTGGTATGTAGTATAGTACTGTTAACTGCCGGCCCCACCCCACAGCTGTTCGCCAAAGCACCCATAACAATCTATTGAATAGTGGTTCGCAGCTACATTTGGGCATCATCCTCCAATGCGTTCAGAAGGAAGACTGGAGTTCGATGATGAGTCCCTCGATACGGTGACGAATTTCGTGACGGATGGTCCGTACAGCATCTAAGCCTTGCCCGGCGGGATCGTCAAGTTGCCAGTCGAGGTAGCGCTTGCCAGCGAAGAAGGGGCACGCATCGCCGCAACCCATAGTGATGACAACATCGCTGGCTTGAACCGCGTCGGCCGTGAGGATCTTGGGGGTTTGGTTGCTGAGGTCGATGCCCTCTTCGCGCATAGCTTCAACAACCATGGGATTGATGGAGTCGGCTGGGGCCGACCCGGCAGAGCGGACTTCAATAGTGTCGCCAGCAAGATGAATGAGGTAGCCGGCGGCCATTTGGGAGCGGCCAGCGTTGTGAACGCAGACAAACAAGACGCTGGGCTTAGCCATAATGTGCCTATCTAGTAATCTTGTGGGCAGTCGTCGTGGAGCGGTTCGTTGAATGTGAGGGACGAGATTGTCAGGGTAGTAGTACTTGGCGGGTACAATTGGCAAATGTTTCTTAAGATAATCATGAAGCGAGAATGTATTGATGATGCTCTTGTTTTCGTATAAAATGAATATAGGCAGCGCTTGGGTTTTATATACTACGTGTTAGCTTGTAAGAGAGGGAACTCAACAAACCATTGATCTAGAACATTCTCTTTTCTACTAGCGGAAAAGGGCTGTTTTTTTGTTAAGCCTCACACACGGAAGGCCGTTAGCGTGGACTAAGCATGTCTATGGGTAAGTCCCGGGTACTATTGATTTCTGTTCTGACATGGGCGAATTTCCGGGCCATCTGCATGTCACTCGAACACTATGACTGGTCCAAGTTTGGAAGAAAAATAGGGCATGCGTCCTATGAATAAGGTTGAACGGCATACTGAGTCGTTTTGACCTTTTTTAGCTTGGTAATTGTCGATCACGGGTTGCTTGCGACTCTTCAATTGGCCACTTAGACCCTCATTAATCTTATCGATTTTTCGTAGATAGCAACATCTGTATGGACAAGTCCAGAGCCTCGGAACCTTACATGCCAATGACAAAGCAAGGAGGTTACAGGTATGTCACTGCTTGGTGGTGATTGGTCGAGGGTAACAAAGTGTCACACATCTGAATTGATTGGCCACTGAAATGCCTTTTTTGAATTAATTAGAACTAGCGCTTAACCGCCCCCCCCCCAGGCTAGAGCTACATATATTGAAGACGGCTTCAGTGAAGCAGGGGGTTCCTGCAACTCACTGTCGTGCCTTTCAACTTTTCGGGAAATTTTCCCCCGAGAAAAACACCTGTGCAGAAATCAAACCATCATTCGCTATATGGTACCGGAGATGGCCGCCCCAACTCCTCAGACAGTTCTGCCCGCGACGGAGGAATCGCAATATCATAACACAATATTGGAAAATCAACCACCAATTCCTACAGCCGAGGATGTCGAAAAGCAAAAATCGGAAGCGAACACGACCAAGCAATCAGCCTTCAAAGGTCTTGGCTGGTTAGATCGTTTTCTGGCTGTATGGATCTTCCTTGCCATGGCTGTCGGAATCATCCTGGGCAACTTTGTCGAAAATACGGGTCCTGCCTTGCAAAAGGGGAAATTCGTTGGGGTGTCTATTCCAATCGGTATGTACACATGAAACTGTGAATGAACGGTCTCGGCTAAATGGTGCAAGCGATCGGTCTCTTGGTCATGATGTATCCTATTCTTTGCAAAGTGCGGTACGAATCCTTACATCATGTCTTCCGAGAGCGTGGGATCTGGATTCAGATTGCGTTCAGCATCTTCGTCAATTGGATTATTGCCCCTTTCCTCATGGTGAGACCAATCCGACTCGTCATGGTGATGCGTGCTGATGTTTCATGATCCAGCTTGCACTAGCATGGGCTTTCCTGCCAGACGAGCCAGAACTTCGGGAGGGCTTGATTCTCGTTGGATTAGCCAGATGCATCGCTATGGTAAGCTACCACTTTTATATGTTGTACTGGAGTCAATCTAATATATCCTTGCCAATAGGTTCTCATCTGGACCGGTCTTGCTGGCGGTGATAATGAATACTGCGCTATTCTTGTTGCGGTCAATTCACTGCTTCAGATGGTGCTCTTCGCTCCCTTAGCCATCTTCTTCATCAAGGTCATTGGCCACTCGGGCAGTCAAGTTACACTCTCATATTCTACCGCTGCCAAAAGTGTGGCAGTGTTCCTTGGCATCCCCTTAGGTGCCGCAATCATTACCCGCATTACACTTCGAAAGATAGCTAGCCCACGTTGGTACGATCAGGTGTTCCTGAAGTGGGCTGGCCCGTGGTCCCTTCTTGGACTTCTCTTCACGATCCTTGTGTTGTTCGCATCTCAGGGCCGCCAGGTTGTTCATCAGATTGTATCAGTGATCCGAGTTGCCGCTCCGCTCTTCGTTTATTTTATAATTGTCTTCTTCGTCACTCTTCTTGTGACTTACAAGCTCGGGTTTGGTTACAAGTTGGCTGCTACTCAAAGTTTCACCGCTGCCAGCAATAATTTCGAGCTTGCTATTGCTGTTGCTGTCGCAACGTTTGGTGCCAACAGCAATCAGGCGCTTGCCTCCACTGTTGGCCCGTTGATTGAGGTTCCGGTACTGCTTGGCCTTGTCTATGTTGTCAAATTTATAGCCAAGCGAGTTGGTTGGAAGGACTAAAACGAAAAGCAAGACAAATATTCACGTTTCGCGAAGTTTTTGCATATTCTGAACCCTGATCTATTACGGAAAGCTATGTTAAGTGAAGGAACTAATATAGAAGAGGCTAGAGGCGTACGGACCGTTGCAACTAGTACATAATCAATACTTGTCAAAAATTCGTCTCCACAATACTTTACATAAGCCACATGGCGTTCCAGGTGTAACGGACTGAGCTCTGGCCTGTGTACTCCGTAACACCGGTGAAATAACCATGCGGTCTACTAATTTCCACTGTTTGCCACGGGTAAATAGAGACTCTTTTGTGCTTATGGGTTAGCCTGGGTTGTCAGTCCGAGGCACTAGTATTCCGGTTTGGCGCATTTGGCGCATTTGCCGCATTTGCCGCATTTGGGCCATGACTTTCTCTCTTCCTTGAGGTATCTCAATTTCAATTTTTGGTGTCTTGTACAATCATCATCTATCTCAATTATGATTCAAAGGTCTGCTTTCATAGTGCTGCACGTGGCCAATCTCTCTAACACGAACTTAGTAAAATCCCTCTTTTGGTTTGGGGAAAATCCAGTGATATATCGGCTTGGCAGTGACAGTTATTTGACAAACGGTGACATACCAGTTAGCATGACTGCCCAATCAGCGGAAAGAATGGCAAATATCTGCCCGTCTCCACGTCAACGATGCTATAGACATGACATCCATCGCCCGGATGGTTCTTTAATAGCAAAGATTAATAGAGATCTACTTCTAGGTGAACTCGTATGAGAAAGACAAGAAGGTAGATTCTGGTGAAGTGATAATGGACGGAGAGGAGAGAGAAAGAAGAGGAGGAACCAAACTAGCTACTCTAACTAGTAGTGGGATCTGGACCCACTGAGTGACCGCCTTGTCGGCCACCCAACAAAGATATATATAATTAGACTTGGTCCCTTGCAAATTCAATTTCTCAAATCACCAATTTGGATCTTTACTGAAGTTTCTGATGATCTTTGCTCACAGCACAGTCCTTCACCTCCGCCCTGCTGAAACTGAAACTGAAACCATGAACTCTCAAGATACCTACCATTCTGTGCAAGAGCGCTACGCGAGCGTTGCGAGACAGGCTGGCCCCGATAATCAAAGGTCCTATGAACGCAAGGTCGCAACCGCGTTTGGATATGATCTAGAGGATTTGCGTTCTATTCCGGACAACGCGAATCTAGGTGTCAGCTGCGGGAATCCATTAGCAACAGCAAATATAAGAACAGTAGGGCATAGCCATCGGTCGCCCCTTATTGCTGGAACTAATATCCATATGTAGGGCGAGACTGTGCTTGATTTGGGTAGTGGCGGGGGCATTGATGTTTTGCTAGCCGTAAAGAAGGTTGGACTGGAAGGAAAAGCCATTGGTATTGATATGACGAAAGTACGCCAACCATTCCCTGCTAACCTACCTATGCTCTTTACTTAATCTTGGCAGGACATGCTGGAACTAGCACGTCGAAATGCGAGAAATGCTGGCGCCTCCAACGCAGCTTTTATCGAGGCTTTCATTACTTCTATCCCAGTGCCATCATCCACTGTTGATTGCATAATCAGCAACTGTGTGGTGAATCTGGTGCCAGAAGCCGAGAAACCGCTTGTTTTCCAGGAGATGTTCCGCCTACTGAAGCCGGGGGGCAGGGTTGCAATCAGCGACATTCTGGCAAAGCGAGAGCTTCCGATGGAAATAAAGACAGACCTTTCGTTGTATGTTGGTTGTATCGCTGGCGCCAGCCAGGTCAGCGATTATGAAAGGTATCTGAAACAAGCAGGTTTTCAAGGTACTGGATCTGTCCTTACCGGTCTTTCATTCTTTCTTCTTTTTCCTCGTGTAATTTGATCCAGCACTGACACCCAGCCTGTAGATATATTGATTCTGAACACCAACAGCGACCTGAACCTTTACAAGGAAATGTGTGAAAGTGAAAATGCCAACGGATCAGGCCATACCAGCTCATATTGTGATGCGACGGAATCCAGAGCGACCGGGGAGATGAAGAAAATTCCGGATGTGGATTTCAACCTCTGGACTGGTGAGTTCATCTACCAAATAAGCCACTAGCAATGCACCGCTGATCGGACCCTCGTCGATCCTTTTTATTTAGGTTCCTTCAAGATCCTTGCTGTTAAGCCGGATATTCACGACTGATGACCGTAATTCATATCATTCTTCCAGCCTAATGCATAAAACTATTCAACATAGTTTTAATAGGCAAGAGATTTCCCAGCTAGTTTTGATCTATGAGACTCAGATAATTTCAATGCCCAGATAGGATCATTCTTTGTCCCGCAAAAGGTTCCGTGGATTTTATATGTTGTAAGCTCGGAGAACTAGAACAATACTAGAGCCTCAGGGCTTTATTTTTTCGCATCAACAGGATACCTAATCAAGATAAACATGATACATTAGGTGTATTAAAGAAATATATCAGCAAGAACAGTATACATAACCTTATTATCAACTCTACAACCTTCCGACGGGGTGCGTGCTAGTCTGAAACCGCATCGGACTTTAGGTTGACCTGAAGTCTTCGTATCATCTCACCGACTGAATCTGCCAGAGATTCATGGCTGTCACTTATCCAAGATGTCGAAAATGGACATATTTTTCACCATGCAATTTGATTCCGAATCACATCCAAGTTCGGATCGCACATCACGAAAGTCTGAATGATTTCGCATACTTTCGATAAGACTTGCTGCAGTCATGCACGATGTAAATTGACCTGTATCCTGATCACCGCCAAAGTGCTGTGATTCAGGGACAGGTTCAGCTGTGACGGGACTGAGCTCGACTGCTCGCCCTACACTTGATTCTTGGCTATTGGGGGTATCCATGCGGCTCTTTGCATCTGATTTGGGCGGCGAAGATGTCATCTCAAGAGTTATAAACGGATGCTGCGAGGTGTTCAACTCCCGAGAAGATGGACTTGCCAGTGGATGGTGGTAATCCACAAGAGGTTGGCTGTGGGTCGTCGGCAGGTGCAAGTTTGCTGATGGTAGGGAGACCACTAATGGACACTGAGATAGGGTAGAGTTCGTTGGTTGTCTTTGCGATTCTAAGTAGTCTTCGATTTGTTTTTCGGTGACACCATGGGTCATCAGGAGGGATCGGAGAGAAACATTTTCTGCCGCGACTTTTCTTCCTGCTTTTTGAACATCCTGTGTCGCCGCTATGCCAAGCTTTTCGAATGACCTTACTCGTTGCTCAAGTTGCTGGATGTACTCCTTGCGCCGTGTGCGAGAACGCCGTTGATTTTCGCGGATTCGAGCGGATGATGTTTCGCCCTCCTTCATATTTATAGTTTCCTTTCCCTTCATCCTTGTGCTTGGGAATGGAAATGCAAATAGTGAAAGTACGGGTTTTTGGTGGGGGAGAAAGGGGGGTGTTTATAGTTTTACAGTTAAACTCTTGGGAGTCCAAAGAGATGGTCAAGCTGAAACGTAACTCTGTGGCGACATTTCGTAATTTCTTCTAGCTGTCCAATCATCAAAATATCCAGCTAGATGGGGCAAAAATATTATCCAAGCCTCTATTTCTGATATCTTGTCCAATCACATTTCGCTAGTGACATACTATACATACTAAGCACGTATAGTCAATTTTTAACTCTCTTGTTTTTTTTTTGTTACCTTTGCCATCTATTTTCACGGGTATAACCTATGCTATCTTACATTATACCACGGGCGCCCTCGACATTTAGGCCAGCAGCCTCATCATTTCTGCTACAATCCAAATTTTCAGCAAGGATGTCTTCCGCTGTTCCTCAACCAGTGGTTGCGAACACCCGCCAAATGGATGTCTCATATCGAACTCTGGCATTACGCCCGAGTGAAGATAGCCCAGATATCCGCCAGAAGTACCGGCCATTCATCCTTAGCGACAATGCCACTGAAGACTGGGTCAACAACTTAGACTTGACCACTGCAGTAGACATGGCCGAACTTAACTTGCGGGTCACAAACGAGAGGTTGAAAGTTCTAGTACTTTATGGCAGTCTTCGGAGAAGATCATATTCGCGGCTAGTGGCATTGGAAGCTTCCCGTATCCTTTTCCGGCTCGGCTGTGATGTACGCGTCTTTAACCCTGAAGGTCTTCCGGTGAAGAACGATAGTGATATCGGCCATTCTAAAGTACAGGAGCTCCGAGAGCTTAGTTTGTGGAGTGATGGGCATGTCTGGGTTTCGCCTGAACAACATGGCAATTTAGTGAGTGACTTCTCAAGAGAATCTTGACACTCAGTGCAGCAACTACTTACTCGTGCGTTTCTCTCGCAACTTTAGACCGCTGTATTCAAGAATCAGATCGATTGGATTCCTTTAACCACAGGAAGTGTCCGTCCCACCCAAGGCCGAACGCTGGCTATTGCCCAGGTGTGCGGTGGATCCCAATCGTTCAATGCCGTCAACTCTTTACGTCTCCTGGGTCGGTGGATGCGCATGTTTACTATTCCGAATCAATCCTCGATCCCCAAGGCATATACACAATTTCCAGATGAAGATCAACCGGGACATCAACGACTTATGCCTAGTGGCAACCGGGATCGCCTCGTGGATTGTATGGAGGAATTTGTCAAATACACGATTCTGATGCGGCCTCACGTCGGTCTTTTTGGTGATCGCTTTAGCGAACGGGAGGAGAAGAGATTAAAGGAGGCAAAGATGAATGCCGCTACAGCTTGATGAAAGATATATAACAATATAGTTCTTTTTTAAGAACGAGGTCTTTATTTACTGTGGCTCATCTCGTTCTTACACTTTTCTTACACTTTCATCGTTTCAGGGCCGCAGCGCGCGACGCGCGCGTCTTCCAGCTTATTGACACATGGGGATGATCAGCGGCCTATCCTAACTCGGCCTAGACTGTTTCACCACCGGCTTGGCATTAGGGTTTGAGATAGTTTCTCTGTGTAAAATATGGAAGCCAATTTCGAATGTAAATATGGATATACAACATATATAGTTGCTGTAGCCTGTATATCGCTTTGCGAGTTGGATTCTAAACCACAACCCACTAGGCTGGGTACGGATTCGTATTTTGGTCTAGTGGTTAAATCAACTTTGCGAGGGGTCGGGGTAAATGAAATCTACTACTACGTACACATGAAAAATCATGTTGAGGGAATATATGGCTAAAGTGCTGATGGCCTTGATATTAGGTGCTGTAATTTTTTCTAAGGGCATCTCGGCCTAGATCGACTCTACGAAAGACATTTGAGGCCGTCACAGATCATTATTTGAAGTCCGATATTAGCCCTCCAGCACAGGAGACAGCAAGCCAAGCCAGAACGCCGACCACAGAAACACGCATGACCGCATTAATGACTGCTCGAATCTCCCCGGCAGCCGAATCGAACATACTGTCGAATGACTGGAGTTTGAGAGGAAATGCCTCTGCAACCCCGACCGCTACTGGGCTATCATTCGAAGATGCGCAAGCAGCTGAGGTCCTCTCGAGTATTACAAGAACTTCACGCATTCATCAGAGCCGCCAGAAATTGGTTTCGCCCTACAGGTCACCACCAGCAGAATCATTGGATCCAACACCAGCAAATTGGGCAACTCCTCCTTCTCCCCCGCCAAATGATGCATCTCAGGAGGTGGTACCTTCCTCCCGTATGACCGGCGATGATGAAACACGTTTGCAACGTTCTCCGACCCTTGCACAATGGGTGCAGGATATAGGCAACCCGCTGTCTTTTTGGCAATCAGAACTAGATCCGCAAGATTGGGGTCCTTCATTCGTGTCGGAAATTCAAAACTTGTCAAACCCGCTTCCATTACCTGATGATATTCCCCCAGTCCACCTAGTGGATTGGGGCCAGTATATGGTGGACTGGAGCAATTATGGAGTTCCCCAGGAAACCCTCCTCCCCCGCTAGATCCTGAAACGATGCCATTCCCGGTCGATAACTCATAGTTCAATTATGCTCAAATTCTGTGACATTTTTAATAATAACAACACGGCAAGGCCCCCGGCTTTACCAGAAAAATAAATCTTCTCATGCCCATCCAGACTCATGTCTTGCCCACTCTCCATCATGTGAGAATGTCCATTATCAAGACTAAGCTTTCCTAATGCAATCCAGATTATTATTCTAGATCGGTCGTCCGGGGACATCCCTTGACTCATGGTTCCAGGGCGCGGCATATGCGTAGTGGATATCAAGAACCATTGTGAGAGGTGTGACCTCGGATCGGGGGAAACCGTTCGTTGAAACCTTCTTGCCACTCTCTGAATATTGGCTCGATTCTAACATGTATCAGAGATTGGACGATTAGGATGCAGGAGGGATAGAGTTTACTATGAACCACTCGACGACTACACGCTCGACATCCTTGTTTGTTTGCAAGATGCGAAATGGATAATGCTTCCCCGCTGGGTCTAAGCTCTCCGATGAGAGATCTTGGCCTGATTCTCGGACTGTCTGCTCGGCTCGGTCTGAAATCGTAGAACTAACGGCTTGTTGAATATCTCTCGCCTGTGACTTCTTGTCGGACTCGGAGTTGTTCGACCGTGTTTCTATTGCTCGCTGTATGTCGTGATCCGGATCCATCGCGTTTTGTTGTGTTCTTTTTTTAAAATTTCTCTTTAAAAAAGAACCCTGTAACCAAACTTTCGAACGGAGGACTTTCGGGAATGGACAATAGACGCGATCATTGTTTGTTCCCAGGTTGACGGGGGTTGTCATCACGTGACAGCCCGCGCCCCTCCCACGTGACTCAATTGGGCATTGATGTATAGTTATCTGGCATGAATACCCTCGGAAGAAAGCTACGATGGTTGGCTTGCAGGCTTGGCTGACCCAATCCGAGCAACTGGATTCAAGCAATATACTAGTGATCTTGACGGCGGCCGTCGAGATAGTCGTTGCAGAACGAAGCGACTGATGATCACATGAGAAAACTTGGCCATGTCACACATACGTAAGATGCTTCGCTTCGCTCCCCAATTAACTTGGCCGTTCATAATTTTGTGAGGAAGCACTCAGCGCTGTTTACGAGAAAGCATCATATTGCCTCTCTCATGATTACGAACCATGTTGATAGATAAGTCGCACCCCTTTGATGCTCTGGTCATCTTCCCTGTTTCAAGCGGCGTTGCCGCAAAATTAGAGAAAAAGAGAATGTTCAATGTATTGTATGTAATCTTGTCAAATGAATTATAAGATGGTCTGCCTTATATTATATCCCGTCGCCGACCACTTCACTGACGATGGAACTAGAGGTGTTTCGAGCATTGTGTTATATGTCTAAATAATGTTTCCCCGAATCTCAGCTAAGTGGGTTGAATCTCCAAACCGGTGTTAATGAGTTAAGTACAAGCGCGGCATGTATGGGCGACGTACTCTTCTTACAACAAAAATATCGGCTTACTTCAATTTCTGACTTCGCGTCTATCGCTTTCTCTCCGTCTGGTTCAGTCTGACCCAAATCTATCTTTTCTCAGAGTGGAGTAGAATACGACTTTATATTGAGGAACATGATTATGCTCATAATGGATCATCATAATCATTACATGCTAACTAAATCTCGACATACAGAGATAATTTACCATCTCCAGGGTGGCATGAGACTCAAAGGATATTTGCCGGTCTGCAGTCTACCTGCGGTTGTCGCGATGTACAACGGCTGACCTGTGAAGGAATATAAAGCTAGCTACGTTTCTTCTTTTACATATCTTTTCTAATCATCTCAAAACCTCCTCACTATGGATTTTCCTTCAAATGCCGACTTTGAAATCATTCCATTGAATGCAACCGACAAGATCAGAGATCCTGCTAAGTCCGGAGTCTCCATTGAGAAAGCAATTTATATTGTAGCGTGAGATCCCATGGGCTTCTTTATCGCACTTTCTGGGTAGCTTTTTACCCAGTCCAACTTCTTGACCCGCCATCCGAATACCTCTGCCGATTCCTTTTGGGATATTCATCCGTCTCGAGACGATACGCACGAGGAAGAGACAGGACCGGTAATGAACAATTTCGAACTGCCTGCATACCCTCCTTCATCATTGTGCAGGGCGCATTCAATCATCGAGACCCAACCCGTGCCAGCCAGTCCGCGCTATCATTCAACCCATGAGCCTATAGAGTTGATATCATACAACCGTACACCACCTGTTTCAGAGGAACCCCCAGCCGAAAATACATGGATGAAATGGCTTCCAATTCCCTGCAAAAGTAAGCCTTTAACATTAATCACTGCCAACGCACCCTGCTAAGTGTACAGATTGATGAACTCAAACACAATTTCAATGGAGTATGGAGAAGAGTGGAAAAGCTACCCAGATTTTCGAAAACCTGCTTTTTGTTACCAAGATGGATAATGGGATGATTTAAACGGTGCATATTGAGCCTCGTGAAATCTTAGAAGGGGCCAAGTCATCGGACTTGAGAGACCGGGATCGAACCTGCTAGGCCAAGCACATTTTGTTGTCTGTGGAGTGGTCTGCCTTGGAAGATCGATATACGAGGAAGCTAGACTAGCTGTAAAGTTTGGAGACGAATTCAAGCCATTGAAGCCATCGAGATTGTCAAAATTCCAGAGCCGTACAGCAGGTGAGCTCTCCATCCCAGCCTCTCATGTCTGATCTTAAGAATTTTCATGGTTTAGATACTTCAAAAAGTCACAAGAGCTTCGTCTACCCATGATATCTCACTTCGCATTCTCGAGCCGGTACAGTATAGAAGTTTGCTTTTGCTATCTATTATGAGACACAAAACAATGGTTAAATTGATATGTTGCATCGTCACCGCTTGCGAAGGTGTATAGCGGCCAGTGGCCGAATGCCTGATTTTGTAGAGTTGGTGCCTGAAATGACATTCTCGATGCCCTTCCATGTTACTATGCTTGGGTATCGAGATCTGGGTCGAGAAGCAAATGACGTGGAGAAGGAAGTTATGGGATGGGTTTACAGAGGACTTCCTGGAATAATTCTACGATGACGACAGCGAATAGTTTGCAGAGGCCTTCCTAGAGTACTTAATATAGCACTGCTATTCGCTGTCGTCATCATAGAAGTACTCCAGGAAATCCTCTGCAAACCCATCCCAATATAGCCTTCTCTACGTCAACCCAGGATCTCGATACCTTGGCACAGTACTGTGGAAGGACATCGAGAATATCCTTCTGGTCCCTGATGCCGCACGAAACGCTGCATACTGCTGCGATAATTACTCCCTCTGAACCCTCCACTCTACCCCCTGTGACGGTCTCTGCCATCAGTGAGTATGGACTAACTCCCCCTCGTTTTGGGTCGTGTTCCTGAGAATTGCCAGTTTACCGTTCCTCCTGGCTGGACTTCGAGTCCATCAAGCCCTGTCTATTATGAAGAGTGAGATGGCGCCGACTCAGAAGGCCAAAAGACTGCTCGGTGCTATGGTCTCCAAACAGGACAGCCGGTGATGGAGGGTAATGAAGCGTTAGGAACAATTTTCATATCTGGCGATAAGTTCTATATCTGGTCGCGGATTGCCAACGAGTTGTGTGAGATTGGATCTCAAGATATATGCAAAATCGCTTCTTTGATTTCCGAGTCGGAACTTAGAGAGTTGACCCCAAAGCCTCTTGATCCGATCCATTAGGGAATATGCTCCTCAGATGCCGAGGATCAATACCATGACTAATATCAATATTTCTTTCGTGGCCGATATAATACGTTAATATAGACTGGACGACCTTTATGGTATTAGCATTGGAATTGTGGAGGATGGACAAAATAATCCCAACTAAATGTGCTTAAAATCCGCGCAGCATAGTATAGGAATTCTGCGTGGTCTTAATTCCCACGGTCTCCTTGCTAAGGCGCCCTAAAAGTCCCGACATTGGATCTTCAATCTTTCGCAGCGATTGGCCCTAGTTCCGCGTGGCCAAGCAAAGATTGTGGTGCGGGTTGACCGGTCCGGGTTCGGCTTCCCCCACACATATGCGGACGTCGGACCGAAGTTGTGGAGTCCGGAGCAAGAGCTCGGACACTTGATATTGTGAAGTGATGGAGCTGGTATTTCCTATAGGATTATCTGCTTCTTTTGAATCGCCAGAAACCCCATTCTTTGACATACCGCGATCACACTATGGCCGTTACTTTTTTTACCCAAGATCCGAAGGGCACTGATGTGTCAGTTCTTCGCAAGCCATTATTTGTCGCAGAGCCACCCTTAGGCAAAGATGGAAGACCGATTATACGAAAAGTCTTGATTGCGAACCGCGGTGAAATCGCCTGTCGCATTATCCAGACATGTCGGAAATTGAATATCACATCCGTGGCGGTCTATGTTGACGAGTGAGTGCTCAGAAATCGTGCTACCAACATATCATCGAGGACACCGCTAAAATGACTACCCAGAGATGCATCCTCCCTCCATGTCCGTGAGGCAGATGAAGCCATCAACATTGGCAGCATTGACCGCAGTGCTCGCAACCCGTTTCTTGACATCGAACTACTAGTTCAAACAGCTCTTTCAACGTGTGCTCAAGCTATCCACCCAGGATATGGCTATCTCAGCGAAAACGCAGATTTTGCCCGGCACGTCCATGACGCAGGTCTCATCTTCATCGGCCCCAGCCCCAGCGCCATGTCTACCCTCGGCGACAAACGGTCGTCAAAGGATTATCTGCGCGCTCATGCTCCCGAGGTCCCCCTAATCCCTGGATTCTCGGGGTCTAGCCAAGATGCCGAGGCTTTGAGTAAAGTGGCTACGGAGATTGGATTCCCGGTCATGCTCAAGGCTTCCGCTGGTGGCGGTGGAAAGGGTATGCGGATTGTCCGCGAGGCGGGACAGCTTAAGGTTGAACTGGAAAGAGCTCAATCCGAGGCTCGTCGGTCATTTGGTTCAGATGATTGTATCTTGGAGAAATTCATTGAGAGCAGCAAACATGTTGAGATTCAGATCATGGGTGACTCGCATGGACATGTGGTTTCTTTTTTGGATAGGGATTGCTCTGTGCAACGAAGGCACCAGAAGGTCATTGAAGAAACCCCTTGTGCTTTTCTCACAGAAGAGACTCGACAAAAGATGAGCGAAACTGCTGTCCGGGTAGCCAGGCTTATTGGGTATGAAAATGCTGGTACGGTGGAGTTTGTGGTCGATATCAAGACAAACCAATTCTACTTTCTAGAAGTCAATGCCCGGCTACAGGTAGAGCATCCGATCACAGAAGAAGTCACAGGAGTTGATCTTGTTTCTTTACAACTGTTCGTTGCAGCTGGAGGCAGCCTGAGAAGCGTTCCGACGCTGGAGAATGTCACTCAGAATGGACATGCAATCGAGTGCCGGCTGTGTGCTGAGAACCCCGAGAGGGAATTCTTCCCAGAGCATGGCAAGATCCACCTCTGGCTACCAGCAAGTGGCCCTTTAGCCCCGGGCCGCGATATCCGCTATGAAACAGCAATCCAAACGGGGTCATCAGTATCTATCTATTTCGACTCAATGATCGCCAAGCTTGTTGTTTGGGCTCCAACAAGAGCGCTTGCTATTGAGAAAATGGCTCAAGTTCTTGCGCAGACCGCTTGCGTTGGAGTCAAGACGAATCAACTTTTCATGCGATCATGTTTATTGAACCCGGCGTTCCGTGATCCTAGCTACACGACTGCGTTCATTCCATCTCACCTGAACGAGCTTCTCCAGCCTCCTTCGGTCCAGGGACTGCCTGAGTTCAAAACGATCGCCTCAATTCTTCCAAGCTTGGTAGTCCGACGACTTCCAGACTATGCCACAGTCTTGTCACGACCCAAACCTCTCCGAAATGTCCGCATGCAATTCCGAAACCAAAGGTTCGACCCAGTCAATATCCATTGCGATGTTGCAACCACGGTCAATTGGCCTAGCCAGACTGGACAGGAGGTTGATTCGGCACCCGAAAATGCTGTGATGTGCATTTGGAAAGCAAGCCCAGCCGGGGTTTCATCCGGCGTTGAGGATGTATATCTCTTCCCAACCCCCAGTGGAAAGACCACGACCGATGAAGATGTGTCAGCCGCAGCAGAAATCTCCGCTCAATATAATGAAATCAGTCAAGCACTACGCACCGGCAAAGCAACGTCTTCTCCGGCATACCAAGTCCAAGTTATCTCATGGGTCCCTGCACACGGCAACCCAGCTCTACCCGATTCCTGGCTTACATCCACCATTGACATTTCAGTGAATGGATCAAAGCTCACTGCTCATGTAGCTATCCCTTCAACACGGGCCCATGCCTTCGCGGGACAAGTCGATTGTGGTCAACGGATTTACTGTCATTTCCCCTCTATCGGAACTCATGTTGAATTCAAACGCGATACTCTGCTCTCATTTGCGGAGAGTAATCGATCAGCTGCAAAGGCAAATAAGGGTTCAGAGCAAAAGACTGTTGCAGCTCCCATGCCGTGCAAAGTTCTTTCAGTCTTGAAAAAGAATGGAGACGAAGTCAAGTCTGGTGATTCGGTTATGGTTATTGAGAGTATGAAGATGGAAGTCAATATTTCAGTCGCGGCTTCAGGGAAGTTTCAAACAGATTGGAAGACCGGGGATGCGGTAGAGGAAGGGAAGATTCTTTGCTCGATTGTTTAGCATATTCATTAATCGATATTCGTCAATACAATTTCAATTCCATCCCAAAAGGCAAGCAGTATAACCCTCAAAGATATTCCTAGGGAATTGTTGCTCTCACCCCTTTGAATTTTCGGTACCGCCTTCCTAATTTGGTTGAGCACCTACCTCGACGCTTGCTTCTGCCTACCGCTCTTCTTACCGCCTCCCAATTTGTATACCGCCTTTATATTAAACTCTAGCAGAATTATAAGTGATACTTGATCAGGAAGGCGGTACTGTAAATTCACATCCACGAGCAACAATTCCCTATTCCCAAGGGTCATCGAAAAGCTATGGAAGGTTGAAATTCTTGACTTGTACTTTTGCAACGATTCTTCAGTCACTTTGAGCAAACGTGAGATCGATTTGAACTAAAAAACAACATAGCAAAATATCTAGAGTTTACTCAACTTCTTCATACTCTTAACTTCCTGGTTAAGAGCCAATTCTGAAAGTATTTCTTCACTGCCACCACCAACAACCATCACCCGCACATCACGGCTGACCTGCTCGATCCTTGCCCCGCGGCCATTTTTCGAATATCCAAGACCACCCATCACTTGCTGGGCCTCCCTGTTAACCTTTTCCAGAGTCTGCCCAGCCAAGACCTTCAGATTTGCGAAGAGACCTCCCATGGAAGCATCCACGCCCTGCTTCTTGGCTGTTTCGGAAATATAGACTAGTTGTTCCATCCAGGAATATGCCGAGTCAATGCCTCGGGCCATCGCACTGAACTTCGCGCGAATCAGTTGGTTTTCGATTAGCTTCTTCCCGAATGTCTCGCGTTTGATGGCGTGTTGGTATGCATCCTCGGCGCAAATTCGCGCCATGCGGAGAGATGTGCATGCGAGCCAGAGTCGCTCATGGTTGAAGTCTGTCAAGAGTTAGGGACAACTGGCTTTGGTCTAGCCGTGGCTATCTAGGGGAAACATACTGTTCATAATGACAGGGAAACCCTTGTTCTCCACACCGAGCAGATTGGCCACAGGCACCTCTACCTGGTCGAACTCAATGTATGTTGATCCACTTGCATGGACGCCGGAGTTTTCAATCTTCTTGCAAGTTACTCCCGGGGCCTTCAGCGGGATTATCAGGGCGGAGATGCCCTGGGTTCCCTCCCCTCCTGTTCTGACGGCGGCAGTACAATAGTCTGCGAAAATGCCGTTCGTGATCCATTTCTTCGCTCCATTGACAATATAGACATCTCCATTTCTCTCCGCCGTGGTAGTGATTCCAGCGACGTCCGATCCAGCTGTTCTTTTAATTAGTCAATGTACTCAATCGGGTGTTTCAGAAATCCTACCGTCAGGCTCGGTCACGCCCAAGCAGAATCGGATGTTTCCTTTCAGCATATCCGGGAGAAATCTCCTCTTTTGTTCATCATTGCCAAAGTTGATCACTGGCGGCCCTCCAATGGAGTTACCACATCCCAATGCCCAGACAATCCCGAGATATCCACAGCGCGCTAATTCGTCGATGACGACAATATCGTGGAAGCCATCCCAGTCTCCGGGCTTGATGTCCCCAGGAAGCCGCTGACCATTGAGATAGTTGGCCGCAAGTGGGAAGGAGCTGACAGCAGTGTATCCGAGCTCCGCGTGACGCTTATGAACCTATTATTTCAGGGAATCTTCAGCGGATATTCATCTCCTTGTCCTTGATATAGTCTTGTACATACCTCCTGTGGTACAACGCCTTGCTTTTCCCATTCCTCGCAAAATGGCGCAATGTAGGTGTCGACATACTCGCGGACCTCTTTCTGAAGTCGCCGATGCGAGTCATTGTAGTACGGACTGTAACCGCGGTTCAGCCAGAGAGGATCGGCGAAGGGGGTAGTGGAAAAAGAAGCCATATTCTTTATGAAATAGGTAATGGGACTTCGAAGAAAGTGGATCAAACGAAATTGTAATTTAATGCTGGGGTGACTTGGATGTTGTGTTATATAACTCGGAGCGGAAGCGAGCAACGTTATCACTCTAATTGGGACTTTGAAGCAATGAGCGAATATGGAACTAGGAAAGGATAGTTATTAATGTGTTCTAGTAAGAATAGCGACAAAGTATACAACAATAACTACCACCACTGTGGGACCGGACCGCGCTCCACAATGCCGGACCGGGGCGAAGGACCGGGGATCCCTATCCTTCCGAGCTTCTTGATATTTCCTTAGTGAAGATGACCACATTATTGGATTGGTTTGTCGCTCTCGCTCTAGCCTTTTTATCTCTAGTTTTGAACAAAGTTATGAACCGATAGGTTGAAGCGAAAGCACGATTTAAGCCGAACTGCTGGAAGTACCACATAGGGATGAACAGACCACTCATATTGAGTAGCAGTAGTTTAAAGTAACAGAAGTCTAATGTAACAAAGTATTTGTGACTTCATGTGAGAGTTCTCTAGAATTAAACAAGTGTTAGGCCTGGGATGAGTAGTCTAAATGTACCATCTATGGCAAATCCCACAGACACATACACATACGTCAATTATGCATTACAGCAGACACAATGCTATGAGCAAGAATTGATTGCAGCAATCAAAATCATTTAATGTAATAAATTATCCCGCCGACTCCGGATCAACGCGAATGAACGAAGTTCTAGCCTAGTTGATGATCCCAGGCCCCTAATTCCTTACTTTAGAGAAGCTAGCCGCTGCTTCCTATTAAGTAGTATTGCTCTTCTGATCAGAATCTCAGTCCTAAAAATGTTATATTAGATGTGTGATATCGAAATTGAAAAGAGTACTGGGGCATACCGTTCTTTCAACATCATCATCAACCCTTGGACCAAAAAGCCCTTGATAATCTGCGGCGCCAAGCCCTTGTATAGTCTCAAGAGGCCTTCATTCTTGACAATGTAAACAAGAACTTCGGTAAATCCCGAGAACGGTTTACCATTCCGACAATCTGGCGGTTTGCATTGCAGCATTGTCTTAGCAACGATTAGCGGATGCGTGGTGATGGTCGCTAGAACTTTTGATAAAGCGCCGAGCACTAATAAAGTAGTCCTGTTAGCAGACAGCCCGAGAAATATATCGAAGAGACGTACAGAAAGCATCAGCAGATCCAAGTCCCTTTGTCTTCTTCAGTCCAAGTAGAACCCCCTTCAACCGTTGGTAAACACCATATGTAATCATGGGATTGATGACAAGGATCAAGTTGACCTTGAAGCCTCTCCAAAGTCCGGTCCAGCCATCTTCACTCTGGATAATTTCCACCATTGTCTCCCACATTGATCGTTGCCGATCAGTTGCTTTACGGGTTTGCTGCCGTGTAGATATCACTGCGATTGGGTTTGTGCATAGTTGGGCCATTGCACCACCAATTGCGCCTAGACCCAGCTCCTTGGCGATACTGTTTGTGTCGGAGATTCCATATTTGCGCCATGCTGATTGTTGTAACCTTTGCGCGGTTGTTGACCAGTAGAAATAGGCAAAGTTCATTGACGCCGTGCCGAGGATTGAACTTCCCAAGCCACTGTATAGACCAAGAATACCTTCTTCGCGAAGTATGTAGCTGATTGCATCGATGAAGTTGTCATGATGAGCGTGGGCTGTAGGATTTTCTGATGTGTCGGTTTGTTTTTCTCGATCGTTGGCATCTTGCTGCTTCTGCCGTTGAACTTGAACTTGTAACTGGGTTTTAACACTAGAATAGACTTAGAATTATTCAAGAAAGCATGCTATTGGTCCATAATCATACATATCAAGAGGGTATACAATCACACTAGCCAGAATGGCCGCCGTCGTACCCGAGATGACACCCTCCCAGGGTGACGCTTGATGTTGTTGAGCCATGAGGATATTTCGTTCAACCTTCCTCTTTTTTGCTCCGAGAATCTACTTATTATCCAGCCATCCTAGTCGATATGCGTGAAATATGTCATCGGACCGGACGGACCGAGCCCGCGAAAGTCGCAAATCTCCGTCCGAAAACTCATTTTCAATTTAGATAATGTTCCTCATTCCCGGGCTACAGTTCAGAAATTGTTCGACTTCCTCAAGTCGCATTGAGGGCGTGAGACCCCCAAAGATATTCCCATTGGGGCTGTCATATCCCGGTTGTCCCAGAATTCCGGCGCCAAGAACCCACGATGTGGGAGACGGTATGTTCGCTGCGGATTTGGGTGAGAGTTGCTTTTTGCTGGGATCAGCGCCCATTATCGCATAATCAATCATCGACCACATGATCTCTTCGGACCCAAAGTCTAACTCATCCATCAAGTGACGTGGGTCCAGGAGGACAGCGAAAGCATGAGAAATGGAATGGAATTCTCGCAGCGAGATAGCCTGAATCAAAAACGTGTTAGTAGTAGACATTTCTTCACTGAGCAGAGGCAAACTTACTATATTTCCTGCGTGGGTCCAAGGCTTTGCTAATCTCTCCAAAGAGTCTAGGCTCTGTTGCAAGTAGTGCGAACTGTCCGACTCGCGGCCCTTGTTCCGATTGAAGTGTACGGCTAGAGAGTGAATCCCCCCAGCTACAGCTATGCAATATGCATAGAATGAGGATTCAACAAGGCAGCCATGGTCCGTAGCCTGCTTTATGAGATCCATAAGCTGTTTCGCATGGTCGCATCCATCTTGAAGGGCGCGGGAGGAAAAACTAGCTGGGGCCTTGGCCCCGAAAGGTTTGAGCCATCGTCTCACGAGGAACGGATGGTTTAGCAGGCAGTGACACAGGTGGAAAAGAGTGTGGGCAAATATAAGCTGGCCTATCTCCTGTCGGTTGACTGTTCCATCTACCTGAACGCTTCCGTAGAGGACATCCGAAAGTTGCCAGTTTAAACTCTTAGAATATGATTCTAAGAGTAGCAAAGAGGAATTGATTGCAGAGAACTCTGACTTTGGATCCCATGGTGGAATCTCGTCCATATTCTTACTCTGGTGAACGTATCGTGTGCATCGGCCAAATATCGACGCCATCAAAAGAACGAGTGAAAACGGACTGGGGCTTTCGTCAAACTTCGAGTTCCAGTTCAACAACTGATCGATTGTACTCGTCTGTCTCCTTTCTCCATGTCGAAAAGTGTGCTCGTCGCATGGAAGTTGAACTTCGCAATCCTCATCTAGAATGATAAGCGGTCGAGATCGGCCACAGGAGATCAATTTATCAAGGAGGTAAATTGACCAAAAGGCCCGTCGATGCTCTTCTTGTTCTGAATAAGAGAGCCATTGATCAGGTTCCGACATTAGGTTCAAGTCTTGAGATATCCGGGCTGCAAGGCCAATTTTGAGCCATCCCGACCGGGCGCGACCGGCTGAAATAGTCACAATGTTAGCAGGAAGTAAATTAGAGTGTCCATCCATCTTACCTGTATAATCAACCACTGCAAGCAAGTTTACCGTCTGTACCACATGAACATTCAGACTGTCTTCCATCGTCAAATGGTCTGCCAGAACTGACAGCCATGACTCTCTCGCGTACTTTTGTGATGCGTCGCGCGTCTGATTCGCGTAGAATTCGTGGGTCGAGAATCGTACAGCGGATGAAAGCACTGCCAAGATCAAACATTTTGGTAGAGAGTTGCTTTCTAACTTCTGGCGAAAAGAGGGTTCATGGAAATAGGAGTAGGGTTGGTTGTGGACGCGTAAAAAGTACGTGTCGATTACTGAGCGTAGGACGTGTGGTGGAGGGAGGAGTCTATCCGTACGCTTAGTACAGGGCCAAATTTCTTCAGGAGTATAAAATAGAACACGAACTCATGATCTTGAAAGGTAGGTGGTGGCGACGGCACTCGCTGTGACAAGGTATTAACCTCTGGTGATAAATAGACGTGGCCTTGTGTGTGTGAAAAACGAGACGTTATATTCCTAGAAACCCCTAGAATCAGTATCAAGAATTGGTAACTAAAATCGACATGAATATCGTACTGCTGAGTTGTCTTTCCGCTGAGCTCCGCAAGCCTTGACTCGATTGTGCTGATTCTTTGCAAAAGTTCAACCTGCTGCTAAATCAATATAATGCAACAGTGCCCAGGAATTCCCAACTGACATTATTATTATTCTCGACTGGCGGCAGTGATATGACCGGATTAGGCGCAGGAGGATTCTCCGCCAGAGTGGCCGAGTATGGTTCGTAGATACAGGCTAGATGATTACGACGACAGTGGGAGCAGATAGGACGGTCTCCTGTGCATTTGGTCTTTTTGCGCCTAGAGGGTTTGTGATCAGCATTGGCAAAAAAGAGCCGACGGAGGAATTTTACCTGCAGTTAGCGCAAGCCTGTCGTATCCGCTTAATACCACCTGAATCTATCATGTCCATGGCCGGGGTTGAGTCAGGAGAAGTTCCAAGGTGGGAAGGATGAACTCCCCCAGTGCGGGGAAGAGTTTGTGGGGACGGCTCTTTCGGGTACCCCGGACCGGCGGAAAGTATAAATCCGCCCAAGGTTCCAGGGCAGCCGCTTATAAGGCGAGCTGTCTAAGCTATGGACGACCGCTTATGAGGCGAGTTACAGCGCCCTTTGGTGGCTGGAACTGATAGAAATGAAAATTGATGGTTTTTGATGAAATTTTAGCAAAGGGAGGACAATGCTGATGGGATGGAGAGAGGGCCTATAACCTCTTGGAGCGAGAGAGAGATGAAGAAGGATAGATTCTCTACAATGATCAAGATCTAGTTAACTAGTTAACAGCCATGTGAAGCCTGACAAACAAGGCATCAGCATGTGATCGGCACGGGACCACCACAACAGATAACTATAAGAAGGTGTCCCTGCCTTCCATTCTTCTTGTTCTCCTCTCTACTCCTACCTAACGACTTACTCTCATCATATTTCAAAGCAGAGCAAAATCGCTAATACCGCCTTGAAAACGTTCTTCTGGATTTAACCTTGCGTCTGAAAATATTCTACCTACATTAACCTTAACTAACTTACGTCACCCTCTTTATTTCCATTATGTCACCCATCATCAGAGATCCTGGACCCACTGATTCAGTAGAATCTGTGATATCTCGTCGATGAAACCCTCCTCTGAATCCACATGCTGACAGAATTCTACTTCCGATGTCAGAGAACCCCACGCTCATGTCTGACCTACCTCAAGGTCATGTGGTCTCATTTTCACGACTGAGGCGCCTGCGTCTAGAGGCACTCCAGATCTCCAAATGGTTCGAGGAACATACAGACGGAAATCAATGGATAGTGGTGCTCGGTCTATCAACACCGGTAATCGAAGCACTTACAAGCGACCACGGCGGTCTTGGGGGAATCGCATTTCGATTTCAATGGGAGGGCTCTACCGGCCTGATCAAGGTCGTCCCCCGCAGCGAACATGAGGTCGCCACTGATAAGTTCACTGAAGTGATTCGAGATTCTTACAAGGCTATGGGTGTCCCTAGCGAAGGAACGGCTTGGATCGGATCGACAACTTACCGATCAGGGATGAGGAAGGGCAAAGAAGCGGATAATGGATATGCACCTCCCTCTCGTTGCACTCATCCGATTGGAAACGTCGGCTACCCAACACTTATAATCGAAACAGGTGTATCAGAATCGCTTGGTCGACTTCGACAAGATGCCCGGAAGTGGTTCGCAGATTCTGAAGGTGATGTCAGAATGGTCGTTCTCATCATTGTTAGGAAAAACTATGTCTCCTTCGAGCAGTGGCAGTTGGCTCCGAGCGGTGCTCCCCGCCCGCTAACTCGAAATTACATCCGGACCCTCCAGGCACAAACCCCAAATATTCCACCACTGATCAGACAGCCGGCACGACTTCAGCAACCGTATTGTGCACAGTCCGTGGATATGACACCAAACCCAGTTGCGGGAATGCCAAAGGTTATGGATGGGGATCCTATGGTCCTCCCCTTCGTTGCAATCCAGGATCGTCCCCCGGGTCCAGGGGAGGGAGACGTGGTTATTGGGCTGCAAAACTTCAATTTTGTGACAGAGTTCTTGCTCTGATTTGAAGACAGCTATCTCCCCCTCTATGGTTACATCGCTTATTTCACCACTGATCGTCTCGGCCGCCGCCCTCTCATGCTGTGGAGTGCTGGGGCCATGGCAATCTGTATGGCAGGCCTCGCAGGCACGACCTCCCCCTCTGCAGCCAATCCACCGGAGCTTTTGCCATGGCTGTGGCCTTCCTGTACTGCCTTCAATTCATCTTTACGGTTAGCTATTGCGGCCTAACATTCCTCTATGCTGCGGAAATGGTACTACTTCAGGTCCGCGCCGCAGTGAACGCGGTATCCACTGCTACCATGTGGGCTTTCAGTTTTTTGATAGCTTAGGTAACTCCTTTTGGTTTCTCTACGATCGGAAGCCGTTAATACATTATCTTTACCGTTATTAATGCTACTATCATACTTAGCGTATATCTCTTTTTCCTAGAAAGTAAGGTAACCGAGCAGTCTTCTCTGAGAAAGATAGTAAAAATGATAGTAGAACTATAATTAACTAATTCCCTTTCTTTTCATTAGTAATCGATCCAAATTCAGGAGTTCATAGATTTACTCACTTCCTTTACCACAAAACGGGTTTGGCTTCGATCCATCTACTGATTCGTTCGAGGTGGATTTCAGCAGCCGTAGAAGAGTTGTAGAAGACTCGTAGAAGAGTTCAAATATTGTCCATATTCCTTGGTTAAATGTCTATACTAGCTAAAACCAAACAATCTGGTCCTTTACAGCTTGGGCTTCGGCCCTAGAACATAGGCATCCCAATCTACCTTCCTCTTCGCCTGGAATTCCTTCACGCCATATGCTCCATCTGCATCAGACCGCATCATCTCCTTAAACAGCCCCTTAATCCCAGCAGCTTGTGCATCACCTCCTCCATGCGCCCAGGCAAGTCGAACCAATTCCTTCGACATCCGCGAAGCATTAGGCGAAGCAGCTTTAAGGCGAATCAAAAGCTCATCAACTCTAACCCGCAGATTCTCCTGGTCCGAGGCAATCTCAGAAATAATTCCCAACCCCTTCAACTCACCAGGAGTAACCGCTCTCGCAGAAAGCATCACCTCTCGTGCAAATGCAACCCCCAATTCTCGAATAACATATTTGGATATCGTTGCCGCACAAAGTCCTAGCTTCACCTCGCTCAGCGTGACATCCGCTCCTTGTGTAAATGTCCGTATATCACACGAGAAAGCTAAACCAACTCCACCCCCAAACGCAGGCCCATTCACCGCCGCAATGGTGACTTTAGGACATTGATCAATTGCCTCGAAGAGTCGCGTTAAACCCGTGAATTGTGCGTCGCTGCTCGATCCGCCTTCTCCAACGGCTGTGCTTCCCTTGCCGAGGTCCATTCCCGTGCAAAAGAATTTTCCATTGGCTGTAATGATGATTCGGGAGGTTAAGGGATCGGAACTGGCATTTGAGATCACCGATGTCAAATCCGAGATCATGGTTGCTGTCAGGGTGTTTCCGTTCTTGGGCCTGTTGAGGACAATTTTCAAGTTCACGCCTGATCGGTAGATCTGTAGACCCTGTGTTTCGCTGCAAAGGTCCCATTTGAGGCTGGGAGCTCTTGGTTTGGATTGTGTGCTTGGGGCTGCCCGCTGTAATTTGGTTGCCAGAGCCGTTCCGGCTCGACTTGAGTTGTTCTTCAGAAGTTGTTTCGATATCCATACACCCGTTTCGACTAGCTTTGGGAGATCGATGCCTGTTGAAATACCCGCATTGTGGAACATGTAAACCAGGTCCTCGGAGGCGACGTTTCCTTTTGCTCCTGGTGCAAATGGGCATCCACCCAGACCGGCGACACTGCTGTCGAACACTCGGATTCCGCTATTGAAGGCCTCCCACGCGTTTGCTACGGCTTGTCCATAAGTGTCGTGGAAGTGGCCTGCTAGCTTCTCTGGCGGGATACCGTTGCTGGTCAGGTAGTTGATGAGCTCGCGCACGTTTGAAGGAGAGCCAACGCCTAGGGTATCCCCGAGGCTAACCTCGTAGCAGCCGGCATCTAGGAGGGCCTTTACACAGCGGAGGACTGCTGGTAATGGAGTTGGACCGTCATACGGATCAGCGAAAATGCAGGACACATAGCTGTTTAGGTTAGTTGCCACTATATTGTAAGATAAGGGAATGGGACCAGCTTGCTTACCCTCTGACAGCGATTTGAGAACGTATAGCCAGGGATGCCACTTGAGTAGCCCGTTCGATTCCCTGCGCAACAGTGCAGTTGATATTGGCTTTACTAAACCCTTCCGTGGAACTGATGAACACAGCAATCTCTCGAACACCGTGCTGTATGGCAATCTCAAGTCCCTTCGCATTAGGAACCAAAACAGGAAGCCGAAGTTGCGAGCTATTCAAGAGTGTCTTGATGTCCGGGTTACGCAAGACCTGACGACAATCCGCCAGTTGAGGAATGGCTTTCGGTGAGACGACTGATGTCAGCTCAATGGTTTTTAAGCCTGTCTTCTGGAGCCGTTGAATCAATTCCAGCTTAATTGAAGTAGGTATTGTGTCTCGGATGTTCTGAAGGCCGTCCCGTGGACCTACTTCAACAATTCGAACAGCCGGACCCATTGTCGAATTTTGATCTCAATTTTAGAATGTTGAACTTCAATATCGGTTATCATACAATAGAATAGTTAATCAAGGTATATTACTAAACTTCTTTCCAATTCTGCTTCGGTCCGCTCCAAAGCACTCCACGCGGGAAACTTAGTATCCGGATCTCGGACCGAGAAGTGGACCAGCTCGGACGGGACGTACGTAACTCATAAATTTCCGTGGCAATACCTTTTGGGACAAAAATGGAGATCAAGGGGCATCGCAAAGACAAGGGGGTTTTGAATCGGAGAGAAAAAGGGCTGTTTTGATGTTTGTGCCAACCTGATACTAGGTGATTGCTTTTTCTCGTCCCCGTTCGAAATCTAGCTTCATTGGGATATATATCCATACAGAGCTCCATATTAGAAGATAGTAATGCAAATGAATGTATTTGTCTGTTCTATACTAGAGTTTTGCCTTGAACATACCCACCAACCGATTGCCAATGTCCCGCATCATGTGTTTTTGATGCTTACCACTGCCAGTCTTCGGGAAGTCTTCACCAACACCTTTCTCTCCAAGCCAAAATACATGCTTGGGGGCTTTGTGTCGGCCAAGCCTCTCCCCGACAAACTGCTGGAGCTCTTGGATACTGGGCTTCTGAAAATGCACCGATGCCTTCAAGAAGCAGCCAACGACCTCACCGTATCTCTCATCCTTGATACCGACTACACTAGCTTCGGAGACTGATGCATGGGA